AACATACATCTGGAGACCAAGTAAAAGTCTCTTCCTTATGTTTTTATGGCAGGTTGTCCAGAATGCAAGCTAGGAGAGAACAGATTCTTTTCCAAGCCAGGAGCGCCCATTTACCAGTGCACTGGGTGTTGTTTCTCCCGGGCCTATCCTACTCCAATGAGGTCCAAGAAGACCATGCTTGTTCCTAAGAACATTACATCAGAAGCAACGTGCTGCGTAGCAAAGGCTTTTACTAAGGTGAGTGTACGAATGAGACCTGTTGAAGATTCTCTTAGGATGCGATCTGTAGTTGAAACAGTGAATAGAAAAGAATATGTTTTTAATGGAGAACATTGGAGAACTATTTGAGGGAAGCATCCGTGGCATTTATATCCTTCACGCTTTGGTTCTTTTTTTCTAAAGAGGAAATTAAAGTGTCAACCAGTACTGAGTATTGTCAAGCAGTATTCAGTTGGGATGTGGAAATTGGTGTGGTGCCACTGACTTCGGTGAAATTGCTTTGACTCATGACACCTGCAGTTCTGGTGATGGACTTGTCCCCTCATTTTTGACTCTTCTGGTTGTGCAGCCTCCCCTTAAATGCTATGCAATGTGCATTTGATTTTAGTAAGTAATTTTCCTAGCTTCTTTCCTGCATAGGCATGAGTTATCTGGGAAGGTGGCCGGTCAATACTATCAATTACGTATATGGGAATGAGGGACCAAAACCATCTGTGCTTGTTAGATTAATTGCGATTGTGTTTTAATAGCATAACGAAGAGGGAACTGTAAACATGTCAAACTACTCTGAGCATTTAACACTCTCGTCTGGAATGTTCTTTTAAAGAGAGATTCTGCTAAAGCTGATTATTTTGGAAGTGATTCACCTGCAGGTGAAGAAACCTTAAATTTGATGTAGTAAATGGTGAGCTAGTTGAAACAAGCTAAGGTGTCTGTCTTGTGGTGATCTGCACGTACCAGGCTCATTAAGCATGTCAACTAGAGGCTCAGTTCAGTTACCCACTCACAGATTTGGGGCCATTTGAGATGCCCTGAAGTACTGAAGACATCTGTGTATGGCTGGCAGACACAGGACGCATGAAAGACCTTCTAGAGTAGCAACTGGAGGCTTGTTCAGATCCCCTCTGAAATCTCAAGTGGCAATTGGTAGCTCTGTGTGCGCAGCTGAATGGAGCATTGGGTTTCCACTGGCTGTGAGGAGAGCCCAGGCACCTGACTTACCTATAGACAACAACAGCTGAACTCATCCTGGCTCTTCATCTGAGTAGAGCATAGATCTTCATCTAGACCACAAGCATTAAACTTGCCCTGAGGCAGCAACTAAAATTTAGTCGATATTAAAAATAAAGATGACTCAGTGTTTGTGGCCTCCATTTCTATAATCCCCCTGTGGAATATTTTAAGGACACTTCCTGATTTTTTATAGATTGATTACTTGACACTTTTTGAAAATTAGACACTTTAAGAAGTGCCAAATTAAGGACAGCAATCTATGTCACTATGCATGTCACTACTGCAAACCTCTTTACGGCTCCGTAAGCCACTGGTGGTGCAGCTTCACAGGTTGGTGTTCAGAGGCCGTTCTAGTAAATGTACCCCAAAGATCCTGTGTAGCTCATAGATAAGAAAAAAGCTTCAGACACCTTTTACTTGAGAATACTGTTTTTACTGCGTTGCTAATGCTAATTATTTGTTATATGTGTGTGTTTTCTTTCTTAAAGATCACCCTTAAGGACAATGTGAAGATAGAGAACCATACCGATTGTCACTGCAGTACCTGCTACTATCATAAATCCTAAAGCCTGTCCCTTTGTTAATGATCAAGGACAACAGTGAATGGAAGATTTGTTTTTGAGCTTTTATAGCACCACTGTGTAAAATGTTATGTTTTCTGGTCAAGACACCGGGTAGACTTTTGAGTAAGATGGATGGCTGTTTTATTTCCTCTTTGCTTCTTCATGCATTTTAGTGAGTTCAATTATTTCCATTCAGGATAAAATACAGCACTTGCATGACAACCGAACGCTTGATCTATTTTTAAAATAAACTGTCAGTTAAATCATCAATGTTTCTTGAGGAAAAATGGTGTTTTAATAGTTTAAAGCAAAAGAAAAAAAAAGATACTGCTGCAGTTAATTTCTATTTTATTCTTTTTTTTAATGGGAGGGGGAAGGAAGGACAAAGAGAGGGATGGGGAAGTGGACGGAAGAAGCAGCAATATTTGCTTCTTACTCATTTAGTGATCATATTTTTGTGGTCTTTTTTCAAGATAATTTGTCTCTCCTGTTTATCTTCCAGTTTTTCATTACCTCATGGGCAGAAGGTGTAACAGTGTGTCATCTATGCACTGTGCTCTGTCTTTCTGTGCTATCTTTTGTTTTCCTTTGAACTTAATCTCCTGCCATATAGATAGGTAAATGGATGTAGAATCAGACTTTATAAAGAATTGTACAGTTTCATGTAACAATGGTGCAACAGAGGAGAGGTGCAACAGTATCAGGTGTTTAACGTATGCCTGAGGAGCATGGTACGGGGCTTCAGTAATTCCCAAATGCAGTGTGCAAATGGAAAATGTAGGGAATATGTTAGGAGAGAAAAGGATCACAGAATACATGACCTTAATATCATAAACTGAGATTTTAGAGCTAGTTCTTGTTCAGTTTTAGTGGGTTAGATCAGGGTCTCTGGAGGAACTGCTTGCAGGTCTGGAGGTCACCCATGGGAACTGAAGTGTCGTGGTTCAAGCCCAGCTGGTAACTTGGAACCACGCAGCCGCTCGCTCACTCCCCTCCTTCTTCCTTCCCCCACTCCCAGAGGGATGGGGAGAAGAAATGGAGGAATGTAACTCCCAGGGGTTGAGATAACAGCACTCCAGTAACTAAGGTATAATGCAAACCACTACTGATACCACCAATAATAATAATGATAAGAGAAATAACAAGGGGAGAGGACACAACCGCTCACCACCCGCCGACCGATACCCAGCCCGACCCGAGCAGCGATCTGGGCCTTCCGGGTAACTCCCCCCAGTTTCTATACTGGGCATGACGTGCTGTGGTATGGAATACCCCTTTGGCCAGTTTGGGTCAGGTGTCCTGCCTTTGCTTCCTCCTGGCTTCCTGTGCCCCTCCTCACTGGCAGAGCATGAGACTGAGAAAGTCCTTGGTTGGAATAAACATTACTGAGCAACAGCTACAAACATCGGTGTTATCAGCGTTGTTCCCAGACTGAAAGTCAAAAACACAGCACTGCACCAGGTACTAAGAAGGAGAAAAAATGACTGCTGTAGCTGAACCCAGGACATGACATGAATGAATTCACCTGCTTTTCATCCTCATTTCTGGGGTGAGAACATCAGCCTTGCTATGGTCGTTGGCTGCAAATATTTTAAATGTGCTGCCTCAAAAAGCCTCAAATATATTTGTGGGGGATTTCCCTGCAGCAGATGCTGTGAGAGTAGCAGTAAGAGTTTCTAGTCTTAGGGACAGGGAAGGTTGCCTGGGGTGAGGTTGTGAGGGTGGCTGGTGTGTCCTGGGGCATGGCCATGGCAAGTGTCTGCACCTGTGCCAGATGACTGAAGTAGTTTAGACAGGCCTCCAAGGCTAAGCTTTGATGGAGCACTTGAGCAGCCCAAGATCTGTGGCGTGGGATCTAATGGTAGTTTAAATCCACTATTCATCCACCCTTCCGTCTATTGGAATGCAAATTCCATGTAATTTTCTAATCATGGGACTTTGAGGAGAAAAAAAGACTTCTCATAGGTAGGGGAGATGAGGTTTTAGAGAAGCATTATTCAGCATAACTCCAGTAAAATTTATTGGCCTCATCTCTGTTCCTTAATCCCCTGATTCAGACTTTTCCCTCCTGGGAACCACTGATCTGGTCCAGTCCCATGTCCTAACTGCACCAGGCACCATGCCGCTCCTGGGAGATGTTTTGCCTGACTTGCTTCTGGAAAAATCCTCCAGTGGTTACTCCAGACCGGGCAAGGACGACTGGTCGTGTTGTTTCACTATTCTTACTATTTGGGAAAATGTCAATCTTCTGCAAAGTTTTTCCATAATGTTTTATTTATGTCTCATTTGCTTCAACATTACTTTTGGTCAAAGGGAAGGTAGTTCAGCAGTGTGATCTTTAGGATGAGTTTAATAACATCAACAGCATAATTTTTCACAGAGAGAAGTTTCTCATTTCTCATTTCATAACATCAGTCAAGACATTACAGGAGCACATGTCAAGCAGCCTCTGTAGCTGACTTCCAATTCCAAGTTGTACAGTTTTATTAAACATGACTGATGCAAGTACTTTTGTAGGAGAGCCAGATCCTGCCTGGAATTTCTGGGCAATGAGAAAGGAATGATTTGAAGCTGCAAGATTATTACCTTTGGGAATGGTATTGCATTTTCTCATAACTGACAGGACTGAAAGGGAGAGCAGGGAAACATTCTCTAGAATTTGCTTGCAGGGAAGATGTGCCTTTTCATCTTGCCAAACTTCCTGGATTACCTCTTACTCGAGTGAGCTCCTCTGGCAGTATCAAGTACTTGCTTGTCTATCTATGCCTGTGCTGCCCACAATAGCAGGTTGGTGACATGATAAACTTCTGTTTACATCTTCTGAAACAACTTCCATTTTATGCATTGTAAAACCATAGAAATGAGAACATAAGGACATAGACCTGTTGGAGTGAGTCCAGAGGAGGACCACGAAGGTGATCAGAAAATTGGAACACCCCTCCTATGATGACAGGCTGAGAGAATTGGGCTTGTTCAGCCAGGGGAAGGGAAGGCTCCGGGGAGACCTTAGAGCAATTTCCAGTACCTAAAGGGCGCCTACAAGAAATCTGGAGAGGGACTTTTTACAAGGGCGTG